GTGTTTCAGACACAGAGAAGAGCAAAAGCAAAGGCCCTGAGGCAGCAGGGGGTTTAGTTGTTGAGAGAGCTGACAAAGAAGCACAGGTGAATGGCACGTTTTGCTTTTATGTGAAGTGTGGTGGGAAACCACTATAGGATGGTGGGCTTTTTGTTTTTAGTGAGCTTTACTGAGATATAATTCACCCATTTAAAGCATATACTTCAATAATTTTTAGTATATTCACGGAGTTGTGCAACCATCACCACAATCAATTTTAGAACATGTCATCACCCCCAAAAGAAACCTCCTATATCCGTTCGAAGTCAGTACTTCATTCCTTCTTATGGACAAATAACATCCCATTGTATGGATAGAACTCATTTTGTTTATCCATTCATCAGTTGATGGACCCTGGGGTTGTCTCCACTTTTGGGCTATTACGAACAATGTTCCTATGAACGTTCCTGTATTAGTTTTTGTGTGGATATATGTTTTCATTTCTCTTGGGGATGTTCCTAGGAGTGAGTTGCTGGGTCATATGGTAGCTCTGTGTTTACACTTTAGGGTTCTGAGCAGGGAAGTGACATGATCTATGTTTGAGGGTCACTTTGATAACCGTAGAAGGATGGCCTGAAGGAAACAGGAGTGGATGTGAGGAGACAGTAGGAGACATTAGAGGACAGTGGAGGAGGGGGAGCTGGCAGACATGGTGGAGAACCAGTAGCCAACTAGTCAGGAGGGGAGCCGGGCACTTGGCGTCCTCCAGTCAACATCTCAGGCTTGGTTCTGCATCATTTTCTTTCCATTTTCTCCAATCTTCCCTGAGGTGATCCCATCCATTTCCATCAACCATAGGAGGATGACTCCCAAACTTTTATTTCCAGCCATTTCTCTCCTCTGAGCTCTAAGTGGGTACTTCTGCCTCCTATTTGATTTGGAGATCTCCCCAGCTACCTAATTCAAAATGGAATCTTGATCTTCCTACAGATCTTCTCTGACCTACATCTTGCCTCTCCCTGGAAACAAGACCCTGGTACCTCAGGAACTAATGGCAAAAACTGGGCAGCTGTGCCCTGGCTCTGTGATGGGCCTGGGGCTTCGCAGAGCCTTTTGGTGGGAGAGGGAGGACGTGTCACTCACCGTTCTCTACCTTGGTGCGGAGCTTGCCTTGTTTGGGATTCTCAAAAACAGGGTAGTGGCGGGAGTCTGTGCTCTCCACAGCACGGTCGCTGCAGGACTTGTCAAAGAGGGCACCATCGCCACATGGGGCTGTGCTGCAATACAGGGGCATCTGTTAAAACCCACCTGTGCAGATATATCTCTCCAGTTTCCTGGGGCTTAAGAACAGCTCGATGTGGGAGAAAGCAGGCTTCTGAAGCCTACTACGGGCTGCCGGAGTGGGCAGAAGCACTTGTGAGACACTCCACACTGAGGCGTGGACCTCAAACACAGAGCCAAGTGTGGCCCATTGAACAAGCTCTGATTTACGGACCAGGAGAGCATTCAGACACCCAGCTCTGGAAGCCTGGCAGGGCTGGCTCTAGTGGCAGCAGAGGCTGTACAGACCTGATATAGAGATGGAATGACACAGTCTTTTTTATTTGGAGCTTCTCTCCTCCCTTAGCAGCCTCAAATATACTATCCTTCGCAGTCTGGGGGCTGTACTTCATTAACTCGCTGTAGAGAAACCTACAAGAAGAAAGTCTGGTTAAGAAGAGACTGATTCTGGAAAGAGCAGTTGCTTCTATAATCTGATCCCAAGCAAGGACAAGCCTTAACAGTGCAGATCTTTCAGGGTTTCTCAGATTGAAAGAGTTGGTGGGAAATTCTCCATGGGAGACCTCAGCATTTCTTAAAGCTAAGTTAGCCTTTCAGGTCAGTTCCATTTCTGCCAAGAGCTTCTCACTCTGGCAGCTGCAGGGATTCTAGGGCAGAACAAACTGATTCAAGGACTATAGGAGGCTGTTGCTTCTCTCCCTTCATAAATTAAAGAAAAAGTGAACTGGAGGGGAAAGCTGGCAGGGCAATGGGTTTGTTTGTAGGTCCTCAAATGGAGATGGAAGGCTTCCTCATCCCTACAGCACTGAAGATCAAGAAGTCATTGTGTGCTTTCAAAAAAGGGCTTGAAGCAGAGTTAGCAGAAAAAGAGCTCTTAAACAGCAGGCTGAGTAGGGTCATGCAGCCGGGTCACAGAAGGGATTGATACCGTAAGACAGGTTCAAATGGACAGGTGAGGCAAAGGCTGACACTGCAGGGTCAAGGACCTGCCCGTCAGGTGGGTGTCAGAGCCGCCACGCCCTGCGATCTCACTCACCTGATGAAGCCTCTCCGGGAGATGATCTCTGCGTGGCAGTCATTGACGGTTTCTCCCTTTAGACTTAGAGAATCTCCTTTCACACAGCGATTCCCTGGGAAGGCAGTTAAAGCAAATGTGAAATTTCCAAAGGAAAACTATGATGAATAGGGTAGAGGCTGTTTGTTCTTAAAGCTTGAAGGCAGAAACAACCTGAATTGATCAGATCCTGACTCCTGTATTCTTTTCACTAGGAAATGAGAATTCATTCCCTGCTCTGAATTAACTGTAGCTAAAATGAAATACAAGAGTCTTCTCTCTGCCTTAAATTCACCCACACAGGACCCCAGGAGAGAATGAGGGGGTACTTCCAGTCACTGCAGGGGGGTGGAGAGTTGGGACACATTTCAGAGCCCACTTACCTGTCCCCAAGCTGACCACGACGCCCAGGTCTTCAGAGTCTTTCTTCATGATGATGGCAGCCAGGATCTTGCGGCCAAGCAAGGAGGGCTGGAAACTGTTGGTGAGAGCATTGAAGCACCGGTGGCTCAGCATGGCTATCTGGTCGTGGAAGGTGCTGCCTGTGAGAGGAAGCTGTGGGGACAGGAGGCCATGTCAGGGCCACCGAGCCTCGTCTATGTCCACCATGTTTCAGAGTGGGCAGGGAGGTCGAGTTCTACTGGACTGGTGGGTCACCTTTCCCCCTCTCACGTCTAGTGTCCCAGTTCTAGGTTCTACTGAGGCTAATATTAAAGCCGAGGAATAGTTCACATGATAGCAAGTTAAGAGCTGACTCCACCCAGACAGGAGTTAGCAGGACCCCCAAAAAAGATAGCACCAAAAGTAGACATCTTAACTGTCTTTGGCTGTGCTTCTGGGGACCTCGAGAGGAGGAGCATAGTTCTTCTGAGACTGGCCCCTGTCACTGGGGTTACCTCTGTGAAACCCATGCGCTCTGCCTTCTCGTCCTCCCCAATCAAGACGCGGAGGGCCGCATCTGCTGCTTCCTGCTTGCCTTGCTTCTTGCTGTGTGCGCAGACGGCTGGGAACCAGCGACCCCCAACTTTTGCTTGGTAAACGAACCTTGGGGATGAGAAGCAGGGAATAAAGACAAGCACCTTACCCCAACAGCTGCTCCAGAAAAGGGCTGGTTTCGCTCAAGATGCGGCCAGTCTTGCCAACACGTGGCCCCATCACTCTTGACGGCTCTGTTCCTAAGGCAGCATTTCCCAGACTTTGGATATTCATGAATCACAGTGTGATTTCCGCTAGATCCAGATAGCACCTAGAGTATTACTTACTTAATATTTTTCTCTAAGTTGACTCTTTTTAAATGTAAACACGTTTTAAAAGGACACTTCATATCACTACTGTAAATGGAAAATGAGTATCACTTGCCATAAACTGAAGGTGGCTGTAAAACTGACTATGATAAAAATCATGTTTTAAATTCTGACAAGACTCTATTGCTTGTAGAGGCTCTAGGCCTGTCTTTTATCATAGTTTAGCAAGTATTAGGGAGGGTTTAAAGAAATACTAACACCATATGTGGACTTTCTTCTTAACTAAAGCAAAAATGAGAAGGGAATAACTTTCTCCCTGCTTGCATCACTTTTTTAATGCTCTGTCTGATTTTTTAAGTACCTGACTCCATTTCTTCATTCATTTCCTGATTAGCTCAAGAGGACTTAACCTGGAGAAGTCAGAGAGTCAAGGTCAGCCTTAGCTCGGGGAACCACAGCTTTATGAAGAGTTATTTTTCAATTCCTGGAGGCCTTGCGATGGCTAAGGGGAGTGGAGTGTACCCTGGGCACCGGTGGGGCAGGGAGGCAGGCAGTGCTGCTGAGGGGCCCTGCAGTTCCCCTCCCTTCCTGCCTGGGGATCTCCACAAACACATCAGCACGTGATGGAGCAAAACAGCCTGGGCAGCTACCAGACAAGGATTCAAGAATACTAGCTTTTAACCAGATCCTCATCTGCTTTGGGGAACCCAGCTTTGGATAATCCAACTGCATACAACAAAGGTTTCAGTATCAAGATTTATCAATCAGCTCAGGCAGTGAAAGGAATCAATCTTTATGTTCAGCCATACTGAGCTTCTCACTATTCCTTGCTTATCCTAAGTAGCTGAATGCCTTTGCCTCTTTCTTTGATGATGCTGACTGGTTTGTGCAGGCCAGTGGGTTAACGTTCAGCGAAGTAAAAGGACAGCGACATGAAAAGATGTTGAAGAGAGGGGATGGGGGCCAAACCATGTAGGATCTTGACCTGAGGGATCCAGGAGAATTTCATGAGTGTTCTATGTGTTTGAAAAGAGTATGAACTCTTATGCACAAAGATATACACATATATCCATATATCCATACACACACATACAAATATATATATATATATATGTATGTATATATATAAAATAAAGTTTGTTAATTGTGCAACTAGAATCCATTAGAGCTGCAAGGTCCAATGTGATAGCCACTGGCCACACGAGGCTATTGACTTCAATTAAAATTCAATACAACTAATAATTCAGTTCCTCAGTCACACAGCTGCATTTCAAGTGCCCAGTAACCACATATGGCAAGTGGTTAGCCTTTTCAGTGGAATGCTGGGGACAAGAGCCCAACTGGAATGAATTAAGGAAGTGAAGACAATGAAGACATTGACTACAAACAATTCTTTTGAGAGGTTTGGCTGTGAGGGGAGCAGAGAGATGAGGTGGTACCTGGAGGGAGATGTGGGGTCAATGGAAGGTTTTTAGAAGATGGGCACGGGCATGTTTGTAGGCTGATGGGAATGATCCAACAGAGGGAGCAACTGCTGATGAGAGAGGGAGATAACTGAAGGAGAGGACGAGAGGGAAGGGATCCAGGGCACAAGGATGGAAGGATGCTTCCTGCATACTGGTACAGATGTAATGTACAGATGAAGTAGGAAGGTGGATTTGGTGATGGGAAGGTAAGGTGTCTGTCATTTGGTTATTGCTAATTTCTCAATTAAGTGTGAAGTAAGGTCATCAGAATGAGAAAGAGGGGTTTTGTGGAAATTTGAAGAAAGAGGCAAAGGTCTGAAATGATTTTCTTAAGAGTAGAAGAGAAAATGTAGTACAAAAATATAGTAGGAAAAATGCCGGGGACTTCCCTGGGGCTCCAGTGGTTAAGACTCTGAGCTCCCAATCCAGGGGCCACAGGTTTGATCCCTGGTTGGGGAACTAAGATCCCACATGTCGCACGGCACGGCCAAAAAAAAAAAAAAAAAAGCCAGGAAGAGGACAAAAGTGGGGGTGGGGGGCAAGTGACACTCCCATACTTAAAACCCTTCAATGGCTCTCCACTGCTTGTGTGGCTGGAGCATAACATGGCCCACTCACAAGGTCGACCCTCCAGTCTCATCTAGCATCAGGCCTCCACTGTGCTCTCTGCTCCACCCATACTGGCCTTCCTGCAGCTCTTTACCAGCTCTGTGGACTTGGTACTATCTCCTTTGCCTAGAACCCTCCCTCTCTCTTGATCATCCCTAAGATCTCAGCTTAGGCTTCACTTCTCAGGGAAGCCCTCTCCCCTCTCCTTACTGAGTCAAGTCATGCTATGTAGATTCTCACCGCATCATGCAACTCAAGCTCCTTATAATACATATCAAGTATGAGATCTTACATTTCTTACATGATTATTGATTGATGTCTGACTCCTGTTCTAACAAATACAATGTCCTCTATAAATATCTGTTGAATGAATAAAGTAGGGAGACCAGGAGACTACTGCGTGGTTTAGGTGAGAGAAGACAGTGGCTTACCTGAGAGTGCTGACACTGGAGGTGGGAAGAGGAGAAAGGGATCTGGGACAGAAATTCTATGTTCAATAAGCAGAACTTAAGGATGGTTTGGCTGAAGTGGGTGAAGGGGATAGGGGAGATGGTCCCCAGGTTTTTGGCATTTTACTTAATGTGGAGCCTACATATTCCCTATTAGGAATGCGCCTGGGTCACTTATCTTTTTAGTTGATGTTGCAAATAGGGTATTCTCTACTACGTTTTCTAACTGCTTATTACTGTATACAGACAAGTTTTTGACTCTTATATATCACTTTGTAGTCCCCTGCTCTCCTAAATTCTCCTTTGTCTCTAACATTTCTTCAGTTTTCTCATGAATATTCCAGGTATACTATCATATCATCTGCAAATAATGATAACTTTACCTCCCCTTTCCTCTCTTTACACTTACTTCTTTCTCTAAACTGACTGCATTAGCTGGTAACTCCAGAATGATATTAAATGACGATGACAGTGGCATCCACATCTTCCTCCTGACTTGAATGGGAACAGTAATAAGTAAGCTGCTGACTTTGGAGTTCAGACTTGTATTTTTATCATGTGAAGGATGTATTCAATAATTTCTATTTTCTTAACAGCTTGGTTTCTTAATCTGAATGGATGCTGAATTTTACTACACACCTTTTTGGAATCTCTGGAGATGATCATGTGGTGTTTCTCCTTTGACCTATTAATGTGGTAAATAATAATAATAATAAATATCTTAATGTAGACTAGTCTTTGCGCTACATTGAGATACTATTTTTCGCATTTTAGAATGCTCATGGTGTAGAGGAAGAGATTCTTTATACATCGCTGGTGGAAGCAGAAACTGGTATAATTTCACTGGAAGGAAGTTTGGCAAAATTTACCAAAATTTTAAATGCACATATACATGTTATTCATTGCAGCCTTATTTATAATACCAAAAGTTTGGAAACAATCCAAGTATTCATCAGTGGGGACTGGTTAAATAAATCATGATAAACGCCATACACTGGAACACTATACTTTGTAGTTATATAGAAAGAATATCAAGTTACATGAAAAATTTTCTAAGATAATACTTTTACGTGTAAAAAGCAAGCTAGAAATCAATGCATATATGTATTTCTGTGTAACAAAAGGGGGGAATATAATTGCTTGTATTTATATAAAGATACTCTGGAAGGATGTATAATAATGTAAAGTTACTACATGTTGGGGTATATGTGTGCGTGTGTGTGTGTGTGTGTGTGTGTCTGTGTGTGTGTGTCTGTGTGTAGGTAAGAGCTGGGTCAAAGTGAGAATGAGCTTTTTATATTTTTATTTTTGAATAATATTTTTTATTTTGCATAATCTATTACCTATTAAAAAAAACCCTTAATAACCAATGTACACGACTCATGGCCCAGAAATTCCACTCCTGAAAATTTATACTATAGACAAGTTTGTACATGTAAGCAAAGACATACAGTACAAGAATATTCACTGCAGGAGTGAAGAGTAAGACCAAAACTAACCTGAATGTCACCGGAAGTTAGTTAAATAAATTACACATGGTGGGGCTTCAAGCAGAAATAACAACATTTTCCTTCTTAAACTAGGTGGTAAGTAGCTGGGTGTCCATTTTAAGAAGACCTTTTCCATCTCTTGTTTGATAAAGCAATTTAAAAATTGTTAAGTATCTATTCAATGAAGCATTATGTGGTAGATATATACATGCTTATTTGTAATGACCTCTAAGACACACTGGTAAGTAAAGGAGTCAAGGGGTAGAACAGAAGATTATGATATATACTTACTTTAAAAAACAAAGAGAGGGCTTCCCTGGTGGCGCAGTGGTTAAGAATCCGCCTGCCAATGCAGGGGACATGGGTTCAAGCCCTGGTCCAGGAAGATCCCACATGCCACGGAGCAACTAAGCCCATGAGCCACAACTACAGAGCCTGTGCTCTAGAGCCTACGAGGCACAACTACTGAGCCCATGTGCCACAACTACTGAAGCCTGTGTGCCTAGAGCCTGTGCTCCGCAAGAAGAGAAGCCACGACAATGAGAAGCCCACGCACCACAACGAAGAGTAGCCCCCGCTCACCACAACTAGAGAAAGCCCGTGCGCAGCAACGAAGACCCAACACAGCCAAAAGTAAATAAATAAATTTATAAAATAAATAAATAAATAAAATAAAAATAAAAAAGAGAAAGGAAAACGTGCTAATATGTGCATGGAAATTTCTAGAAGGACTCAAGAAACTGGTAATAGTGTATGAATCTGGTGAGGGAAACTAGAAGTTTGAGATAGAAATGAGACTTTTCGTGCACATTTTTTCAATCAGCTTGAATGATTTCCTATGTACATATAAAAATTAAAATTTGTTTAAAAAAGTTTTAAAGGCTCATGCTCACTGGAAGAGTGGCTGTCTTCTCAAGATGGCTGATCTAGTGTCTTCTCGGAGGCCCTGGGGACAGGGCTCCCTGAACATGCCCCTCCTGTCATTCACAGCTAATGCACATCCTTTCTTTCCCTCGGTTATAAGCTGTCCCCATTCTGTGACACACGGCTGTAGCCAGGACAGGAACACTCACTTGGGCTCATGAGGAGGTCCGGACTGGTCGACCAACTTGAACTCAGCAGCAAAGCCATGGGAGCGGGCGTACTCCAACAGGCCGCCCACGGGGTTGGTGTTCAGGTATCTGACGAGCTCGCTAATCCTCCTGACCTTGCTGGGCATCACCGATTCCAAGTTATCAAATGATTCCATGTTCATACTTCCGGGCTGAAGGAGAATCAGCCAAAGAGGAATCATAAACACTTAATGGAAACTCTGAGGGACTCACGGGCAATCCTAAGCCGCTCAGTTGCTAAAAATGACCTGTATCTTTTGAGTAGAAAATGGCCCCACCTGGTCATCAGAAGATGTTGAGCCTGTCGCCTCCCCTTGCAGGGCCTTCATGGCTTCCTCTGCAGCCATCTGCTTTGCCGCCTTCTTGCTGGGGGCACTGGCAGTGGGGAAAGTATGGGTTCCCATTGCAACGCAGTACTGGAACCTGACAGGAGATGAAAGGAGAGGATTAAACTGGTTTTGATGGAAGAGCTTTACCTAGCCTTTGTCAGGTTGTCATCCTTCACAACTTGTAATTTCCTTGCACACATCGCCTCTGTGCCTTGGCTCATGCAGTCACTTCTGCCTTGAAGAGCCGGTGCCTTTCACCCTCCTCCTGCCCCCAGTCTCTCTTAGCCTGGCTCACCCCTATTCAACATTTTTAAGCATCAACCTAATTTCACCTCCTCCAGGAACCCTTCTCTTGAACATGTAAGTCTGCAGAGCCTCAGAGCAGAGAGCTTCTCAGGTACGCCCAGGTCTTGCACCTTTTAGTCCCACCACCAGTAACCTCCAAGCCGTGTATCTCCCTTGTGCTTGGTCCCTGCTTTGCCCTTTGAACACCTAATCCCAGATTCTCTGCTCCACAAGCAGCAACCATGCTCTCAAGGCCCCCCATTTTCCGTATTGAAAACAGGAGTGATTGCTCAGTGAAATAATCTGCCATCTCTGAGGAGGCAAAGAAGAAAATGTATCTCTCTCTTTTTTGAGAAAACCTCAGCAGAGATACATGATACAAGAGATGTACTTGGGGTCATGGGCAGGGCCTTCTCTGGATAGGAGGCGGAATTCACAGGAGCTCCCCAACTTGTGCACACACTCAAGCAATGTAGTGACGGGGTTCTTCCCAGAAAGGAAGGATGTTGCTGAAGGAGTGGTAGTCTGGGACTCTGCAGTCTGGAGAAAACGAGAGACAAAAAAACAAAAACAAAAGCAAACTGAGAAAACACTGGCTATTCCATCACAGCAGAGGGAATGGGGATGGGAGAATTTCTTTTGGTCAACTGCATGTTTGGGGCTGGCTTTCTAAAGGAAGAGGGTTGTGGGGATTTTCTAGGCCTTGCAGGAAACAGTAGTTATTTAAATGTTCTTCGTCTCATTTCTTTTCTTCAATAATTTTTAACATCTCTTTCAACCCTGAAAATCTGCAATTCCTTTAGGTTGGGAGGTGGCACTAGAAGGGGAGCTGGGTATGAGAAGAGGAAAGGTGGGCTGGTGAGGCAGGGGAGAGGGGAGAGTAGGAAGCTGACTCTGAGACAGTGGGTTGGGTGGGCTGAGATTGTTTCAAGAGGGTCACATGAAGTTCTGATACTTCACAGACTTGGAGAGTGAACTGATGTCCTCCCAGAGGGCAGGACACCTACCTTCTCTGATTCTTTCTCCGAGGAACAGTAGTATGATTCTTCTGATCTTCCACTGTCTTTGGCTTTAGCTTCCTCAAGCAGAATTGTCATGGCTTTCATAGCTGCATCCTGCTTGGCCACTTTCTTGCTGCCAGCTTCAGCTGGGGGAAACTCTCGGCCACTGATGACAACTTGGAATTTAAATCTTGATGGAAAGTGATTAGATGTGTGAACACTAGTCTAGGCCATCCCTTCTGCCCTCTCCAAAGAGATCTTCACCCTGGAATTTCCTGCTACACTAAGGGGCTTGTTGACTTGTGAAGGAGATGGAGGATAGGCCAAGGGACTCCTGTCCCTTTGGAGGCTCAGCCTGTTCCTATTTTTTGGGAAACAAAGCAGCCAGTGACTCTCTCTCCAAGCTCATTAGAGCAAACATAGCCACAGGTGATAGGAAACTAGCTCAAGGGAAACCCACTATCTTTTAGCAATGAATTAAGATCAAGTCTGTACAAAAAATGATGAGCTAAAATCACCACTACAGTCTTGTTAGCAACCAAAGAGCCTTTACCCTAAAGCAATGGTGGTAGACTTGGCCACCTCAAGGGCAGCTCCTAAGGAAAGCGAAGGCTTCTTACAGCGCAGTCTCACACTCCCCAGACACCTACAGGGATCAGATACCTGCCCCTTTTGGGGGCCTATTTTCGTCCCCAACCTACCCTCAGAGATATACCACTCTCATGGTTTCTTTTGAGTCATCCTACAGCTCTATTTGTCTGATGCCTGAGATGAAAGGAATTTCCCCTTGTTATGCAGAGAACCAAAAAGCATTTGTTCTAGGCCCCTGGACTTAGCTTAGACCGCCTCTATTCAAGCTTTCATATTTGTTCAGCTCTTTGCTCAATCTGGGATTTCATTTAGAAAAGTAGGTCAAATTTCTTATTTCCTGGGTCTTCTGAAATATTTGAGCATGGCATCAATGTTTCTTATAGCTGGAGTCCAAAGAAAGGTTAACCACAAAACCCACTGCTGTTCCCCAACTCTGGGAAGGGGGATGGTGGGAGAAGAAAGAGAATGACAGCCATCCAGTCTCTACCCCAGACAGAAGCACACCAGTCCTGGCCCTGTCAGTTTCTGGACAGACGCACCCCCTCTTCTTAACAGCTCTCCTGCAATGCCATCTCAGTGTCATGAAGACAGAATAAGGAGGAAGGGTCACCGCCGGGAATCCTTTACCCTCAGACACCAGGCTACGGTTAATGTAAAGGTTAGTGGGATTTTCTGCTGGCCCCACTGGCGTGCGGTTACCCAGCTGCAGTGGTTTCAGCTCTCCGCTAGGCCCTGCAGCAGCTCCTGGGCCCACCTGTCTTCCTCAATCTGTCCGCTGGCTTGGAAGAGCCTATGGTGCAGGGCCGGGCCAGCTGTCTGAGTGAGGTAATTTCTGATTTCACAGCTTAGGAGCAGCAGCAAGTGCTAGCCCACCCATCTGTGCAGAGGCGGTGTGTAAAATTAGAACCACCACCTTCAACAGGCAGGCAGCCGTGCACTCTACAGCATCCTTTCCCTA